CTCCTTAGGGACCGTGAATCTTGATATCGAAATCACCTCTAGAGATTTGGAGTCTATATTGTCGTGTTATGTGGGACCGCACAGTTTATCCCAAGTAGAATTTCAGAAGTGCTTTGTTTTGACGTGAGTTTCTCACCTTCAAAGTCTAGGGTCTCTTTACAGGACGTTCCCTCTCTTTATGTCCCTCCGAAACTTAAAATAAGGCGGGGCCGGCACTTGTTTCTCGCTAGTTACATATTATGTAACTATGGTGGCGAAAGGAGTTAGTGTATTGTCCGGGCATTTGCAAAGTATGGCAACTTGCATCATTTACAGCCTCAGAAACGAATTCCAGCGAAGCTAAAGGGCTCTGTCGTAAGATTTATCTTACTGGTTGCATATCTTTGATCCCAAGAACATAGACTTCTTCACGCGTCTGGTCATCAGCGCTTCTGCAGTATAGCGCGCGTTAGCCGTCTTCAGGATGTCCGTACTTGGTAGTGAGTTCGAATCATCAGAGCTGGAAATAAAGTGAATCAGACTGGAGCCGTTTGAAACTGCACTGCACATGTCCAACTGCTGTTTACCAAATAAAGCACCTTTTCCCATTCCGGAATATTCACNCAAATTTTATGGGTGTACCGTGAGTCGAACCCAAGCTCTGCTTCTTGACTACTCCCGACTATGATTGAACACTGGCGGTATCTCAGTCCTCGTGATTCCTTTGGGTGACACGTCAACTAGGCTTTTGAAGGGCGACTATGATTGAACACTGGCGGTATCTCAGTCCTCGTGATTCCTTTGGGTGACACGTCAACTAGGCTTTAGAAGGGCCGAACGAATGCTTTTTGTTATTCACACACAGGACGTGTGAAGACTGTGCGAGTTTTTCCCACAACACGTAAGTTTCGTTAGGGCTGCTCACAGTCCCTTTTCGTCTAATTTTTCCATTCAACCGTGCATTGAGAATACCTCCTCTCTCGGTGGCTAGAAGTTTGCAGCCCAGTTGCCCACCTGGCCAGATCAGTGGTCACCTCGTCGACAACCACAAATTTCTTCATCCACGTCACCTTGTTGCGCACCTCCCTAAGGACCGTGAATCTTGATATCGAAATCACCTCTAGAGATTTGGAGTCTATATTGTCTTGTTATGTGGGACCGCACAGTTTATCCCAAGTAGAATTTCAGAAGTGCTTTGTTTTGACGTGAGTTTCTCACCTTCAAAGTCTAGGGTCTCTTTACAGGACGTTCCCTCTCTTTATGTCCCTCCGAAACTTAAAATAAGGCGGGGC